GTGCCACCTAGTAGAAGTAAATCTTTATGCCTCTGGGTTTTACAATGATTTCTTAAAGTATATAAGCAAAAGCAATAAAAGAAAAAGAATGAGATAAATCAAAATTAAACTTTGTGTATCAAAGGACATTATCATAAAAGCATTATAAAGATGACCTATAGAATGGAATCTATAGAATATTTGAATGCTTTCAAATATTTTTCTATCTAGTATCTAGTATCCAAAATGTATAAAGAACTCTTGCAACTTGAAAATAAGAAGACAAGAATGCAATTTGAAAATGGACAAAGGACTTTAATAGACGTTTCTTCAAAAGAGGTTTACAGATGGCCAACAAGGTCATGAAAAGATGCATAACCTCATTAGTCATTAGAGAAATGTAAATGAAGACTGCAATGAGATACCGTTTCACACCCACAAGGATGGATAAAGTAATTTTTCGAAAAAGTGCTAGTGTGGATATGAAGATATTAGAGCCCTAAAACCATCCTGGAAGAATGTAAAATGGCGTGGCCTCTATAGAAAATTTTAGTGATTCCTCAAAAAGTTAAATATTAATTTACCATATGACTCAGCAAATTCTTTTCCTGGGTATATATACCTCAAAGCACTGAAAAGAATATTCAAACAAATACTTGTACATAAATGTTCACAGCAGCACTTATTTACAATAGTTAAAAGTGAAAACAATCCAAAAGGCAATCAATAGATAAATGAAAAAAATTGTGGAAAATAATGGAATATTATTCAGCAATAAAAAAGAAATGAAGATACATGATAAAATATGGATGAACCTTAAAATTATTATGCTAAGTGAAAGAGCCAGACAAGAAAAGGACAGACATTATATAATTCCATTTGTATGAAATATACAGAATAGTAAATCTGTGAAAACAGAAAGCAGATTATTGGTTGCCAGGGACTGAGGGGAATGAGAGAATGAGAAGTAACTGCTTAATGAATATGGGGTTTTATTCTGGGTGATGAAAATGTTTTGGAAGTAGATACAGGTGATAGTTTCATAACTTTGTAAATTTTATTTATTATTTATTTTGAGACGGAGGCTCACTCTGTCACCCTGGATAGAGTGCCATGGTGTCATCACAGCTTACAGTAACCTCAAACTCTTGGGCTCAAGTGATCCTGAGTAGCTGGGACTATAGGCACTCACCAACAACCCCCGGCTAGTTTTTTTTTTTTCTATTTTTAGTAGAGGCAAGGTCTTGCTCTTGCTCAGGCTGGTCTTGAACTCCTGAGCTCAAAAGCAATCTACCCTCCTCAGCCTTACAGAATGCTAGAATTACAGGCATGAGCCACCACACCCAGTCGAGACAAAACTTTCAAATCAGTTGTTTTAACTATGTTTAAAGGACTAAAGGAAACTATGTCTAAAGAACTAAAGGCAAGCATGAGAATGATGTCTTATCAAATAAAGAATATCAAAATAGAAATTATATATATATATTTTTTGCAGTTTTTGTCCAGGGCTGGGTTTGAACCCACCACCTCTGGCATACGGGGTTGGCGCCTTACTCCTCTGAGCCACAGGGGCCACCCGATAGAAATTATATTTACAAGACCATGAATAGGGCAGCGCTGTGGCTCAGTGGTTAGGGGGCCGGCCCCATATACTGAGGGTGGCGGGTTCAAACCCAGCCCTAGCCAAACCGCAACAGAAAAATAGCTGGGCATTGTGGCAGGCGCCTGTAGTCCCAGCTACTCAGGAGGCTGAGGCAAGAGAATCACCTAAGCCCAGGAATTAGAGGTTGCTGTGAGCTGTGTGACGCCACGGCACTCTACCTAGGGCGATAAAGTGAGACTCTATCTCTATAAATAAATAAATAAATAAATAAACAAACATGAATAGAAATTTTGAAGTTGAAAAATACAAAGATCTGAAATGAAAAATTCACTACATGTGCTTGATACAGGGGTTGAGCAGAGAGAATAAACAATCAGGTGAGCTTGAAGATGGTCAATTAACACTATCCAGACTGAGAAAAAGAAAGAAAAATAACATAAGAAAAACCAACAGAGTGGGTCAAAAACCCAATTCAGCTTGGAAAAAAATGAACAGAGCCACAGTTAATGTGGAATACCAGCAAAAGTATCGACATAGAAGAGAGAGAGGAAAAAAGCAACATAACATTTGAAGAAATGATGGCTATCGTTTCTGAAGGATAGCATGTTGTTGTTGTTGTTGTTGTTGTTGTTGCAGCAGTTGTCATTGTTGTTCAGCTGGCCCTGGCTGGGTTCGAACCACCAGCCTTGGTGCACATGGCTGGTGCCATAACCACTGGGCTATGGGCACCGAGCCTTGAAGGATAGCATTTTTAAATGGCTGAAAATCTCCCAAATTTGAGGAAAAACATTAATCTGTGTGTACAAGAAATTCAATAAACTTAAGATAAACTGTAATAGATCCACATATAGACAAGTCATTGTAAAACTGCCAAAGACAAAGAGAAAATCTTAAAAGCAGCAAGAAGTGAATTACCACATAGAAGTGATTCTCAGAAAGTTTAACATCTAATTTCTCATTAGAAACCATGGTAGCTGAAAGCAGTAGGATTACATATATGAAAGAAAATGACACTACCAAGAATTATATGTCCAGCAAAACTATTCTTAAAAAATGAAAGTGAAATCATGGTTTTTCCAGCAAATAAAAATTGAGAGAATTTGTTCCTAGCATACCTAAAAATTACTAAAGTGACTCCTTCAGATTGAAGTGAAAGAATATTAGACAGAAACTTGAATCCACATGAAAAAATAAAGAGCCAGTAAAGTAAGAGTAGATAAATAGGAAAATATAAAAAACAGTATAAAAATTTTTTCCTTGGTAAATCTTTTTCTCCTAACTGATTTAACAGATTTATTGCACAAAGCAATAATTATAAATCTGTGCATAAAGGTATAACTTGGTAAGAACAGTTCAAAATAGGGTAAAGGGAACGAAGCCATATAAAAGCAATATTTTGAATACTTTTGTAATTATGTTGGTACTAATCCAAATTAGACTGGTGTAAGTGAAAATTTAACTTGCAATCCCCAATGTAACTGCTAGAAAAATGATTTTTGTTTGATATTGTAAAAGTGAGTTCTTTTTTTTTTGAGACAGAGTCTCAAGCTGTTGTGCTGGGTTAGAGTGCCATGTGTCATAGCTTACAGCAACCTCCAACTCTTGGACTCAAGTGATCCTCTTGCCTCAGTTTTTCTTTCTTTCTTTCTTTTTGAGACAGAGTCTCACTATGTCACTCTCAGTAGAGTGTTGTGGCGTCACAGCTCACAGCAACCTCAAACTCTTGGGCTTCAGCAATTCTCTTGCTTCAACCTCCTGAGTAACTGGGACTACAGGCGCCTGCCATAGCGCTGGGTTAAGTTTTTCTATTTTTAGTAGAGATGAGGTCTCGCTCTTGCTCAGGCTGATCTTGAACTCGTGAGCTCAGGCAATTCACCCCCCTGGCCGCCCAGAGTGCTAGGATTACACTGGCCTAAAAGTGAGTTCTTTGGAAGCCGCGCCTGGCCTAAAAGTGAGTTCTTCGGAAGCTATCTGTTAGATGTCTCCTGATTCTAGCGTACTTTGAGTTTGTGATATTATGAGACTCCTAGACTGTGCATTCTGATTGTTAGATGTCTGTGCCAGTGACTGAGATTGACACCAAAGTTGTTTATGTCATAATTCTTTCATTGGTTCTAGTGTGATTTTTAGTATTTATTCACTAAGAATGCAAAAATGGCTAATCTTGGCTCGGCACTGGTAGCTCACTGGCTACGGTTCCAGCCACATACACCAGAGCTGGCGGGTTTGAATCCAGCCCAGGCCTGCCAAACAATGACATCTCCAAGCAAAAAATAGCTAGGCGTTGTGGCAGGTGCCTGTAGTCCCCGTTACTTAGGAGGCTGAGGCAAGAGAATTGCTTAAGCCCCAAAATTTGAGGTTGCTGTGAGCTGTGATGCCACAGCACTCTAGTAAGAGTGACATAGTGAGGCTCTGTCTTAAAAAAAAAAAAAAAAAGAAAGTCTGATCTTTCCCAGCCGAACATCTCTCATCCTGATCGACAAAGTTATTATTCCTTCTCTTGAGGATAAGCCATGAAGAGGAAGGGGAGAAAGGCATGTCTTGTGTCTTTGCTTTTCTCTCTTAAGATATTGGACTTAACCTATAAATCTTAGTTAGACAAAGATGTGGATTTTCTCCTTAAAAGAGAAAGCAGATTTCATACCATATTCCTTTCACCTCTGTAAGGAACTTCCCTGATGCAAACCTCTATTCCTCACTATTCCCCTTGGACCAGGCAATTGGGCATTTCACATGGTGTCACCCAAAGCTTCTAACATGTTATAGGCCTAAAGACTAAATCATATACCAGGATGAAAACTAAAGAAAGTTGTTTTGGAAAATATACATTCAATGACCAATAAATTAATAGCTGGGAAAATTCTTCACTCAGCTTTTTCCTTTTCTTCTTCATCAGGTTTTTGTTCTTTGGCCTGAAAAGGCATGAAGATGACCTACATCTATGGTCAAATGATCTAAATGCTGTGGCTGCTTTCAACTGAGTTTCCTCCACTTGATCCTTATCCGGGCCAGACATAGTACCCCCACCTCACCTTCTGAGAGCCCAGAGGAATGGAGGAAACTAAGGAGCGAATGGTAGAGGAGTTTCTGGAGTGAAGATATAATTGGATGATGTGGGAAGTGGGCTGAGGAGGTCACCTTATTTTGGTCACCTTTAGCCTCCTGACTTGAAAGAAGGGAGAATAAAATCAATGACTTACAGAACTTTGGAGCAGAGATGGCAGTTGCTATTGTAGGTAATCCCGTCACTGCCACATATAAGTTGACTGGGCTTGGTGTATGAGAAAAACCAACACTTATGTACATTCTTGAGGCACTCAACCTAAAGACAAGACACAGACACTATTTCAGATGTTGTCCTTCAGGTCCTTTGGCCATTGTCATTGGCAGCAGGGGAGGGTGATGGAATCATTTGCACTAGCCCAGGAGTTCAGAGAAAAGGCTTCAGAAGCCTCAGCATTTGACCCCAGAACTTAACACCAACAACATGTACATAATTATAATGTAATATATAATCTGTACATTCCCCAATCCCCCATAAATTCCTTATCAGGGTGAAAATCCTTGCCCTACCAATTATAAAATGCGATCGTTACACTACAGAGAACAAAAGTAGAGAAATGTCTTTTAAGATTAGAACTTCTTACGAACATTTACTGAGTGACTTATTATATTTGGTGATTCAGATGACAGTAGCCTCAAACTTGTCACAGCAGGGTTAGGATGTAGAAGGAAGGAAACAAAGAGAATATATCATGAGGCCTTCATGTGAGGGAGGCAAAATGTATGTCCTGGCATATCATGGTGGAAAGACTATGTACTGCAGCATAGGCCTGAAGTGAATTTGTGCCATGACATTATTATCCTCTTAATGGTGCAAAATATGTGACTTTTATCCCATAGGACAGTTGTATAAACTGATTGGGGTAATGCTTTAGAGGCAGGTTAGGAACATATGAGTATAAAATGTATTACACATATCTGATGACTCAGCTCTTATTGTATTATTCCCATGCAAGTTCCTTCTCTTCCCCACCTCCCAGAAGAAAGAGCTGGGAAAATCAGGGAAACTGACTCTCTTCCCCCATTCCTATTCTTGGGAATCAAGGAAGCAGACCTTACCATCGTCGGTTTTAGGTGCTCTGGCTCAGGAGGCTTAGGAAGGACAATGTCTGGAAGATAAAAGCACATACAGAAGAGCTGCTGCTTTGTCTTCTGCCCTCAGGGAAAAAACTAGGATGAGGAAGACCCTGATTGGGACACAGGAAACTTCAAATCCCATCAGAAAAGGCTGAGTTCCTCTTTGATGCAAGCTGCCCTCTAAAGGAACAAAGAATCAGGAAATTTCTGCCTCTTGCTTTCTTTAATTATGGTCCTTCTACTTCATACATAAATAACAACTTCTATAATATTTCTCAATTATTTTTAATAAACATGCTCTAACTTACAAAATACTACAAAATAGTTATATTGAGGTGCCTCAAAAGTTGCTAAATTTCATTAAGGTTTGCATATTCAATCCAAAGCATCTTAACAATATTAAGGCCTCCAGTCCATGAAGATGGGATGTCTTTCCATTTATTTAGGTCTTTTTAAATTTCTTTCTTGATGTTTTATAATTTTAGGTGTACAAGTTGTCACCTCCTTTGGTAAATCTATCCTAATGTTGGTTTTGTTTTGTTCTGTTTTGGTTTTTTGCTATTTTAAATGTAATTGTTCTCTTAATTTCATTTTCAGAATGTTCATTAGTAATGTATAGACATACAACTGGCTTTTCTATATTGATTTAGCATTCTGCAACTTTGCTGACTTATTAGCCCTAATAGTTTTTAGTGTATTTCTTAGGACTTTTCTATTCACAAAATTACGACACAAAATAGAGATAATTTACTTTCTTCTTGTCCTATCTAGATGTTTTTATTTCTTTCTTGGCGAGAAACCTGGCTAGAACCTCTAATACAATGTTGGATAATAGTGGTAAGAGCAATGAGTTGCTCCCACTCTTCTCCTTTGTGCAATTATTGTCCAATACAATAGAATTTCTATTATTGACCATCTCCCTGCATTGACCACCTCCTTAAGCTGACCTAATTTTCATAGACCAGACATCCACCACATGTAACTATCAGTATAGTAGGTCAAGTTCCTTATGCTGACTACCTCCATATCTTGACCAGTTTGTTGTAGTCCCTTGGGTGGTTAATGTACAGAGGTTCTACTATACATTACATTTCTGTTCTTTGTTCTCTGACATATAGAATACATTCATGGAAACTTTTTTTGTAGTAAGAGAACATACTTTAAATATTCTAATCCTTTTAAATTTAATGAGGCTTGTCTTAAGGCCTAAGATATGGTCTATCCTGGAGAATGTTTCGTGTGCAATACACATTCTGTTGCTGAATGGAATACTCTATAGATATCTGTTAGGTCTAGTTGGTTATTCTAGGCTTCTATTCCCTTGTTGGTTTTCTGTCTAGTTGTTCTAGTCATTATTAAAAGTGGGAGGTGATATCTCTATTATTGTTGAATTATTGATTTCTCCCTTCAATTCTAATAGTTTTGTTTTATATACAGGGGGTGCCAAAAATGTATACTTATTTTAAAAAAGAAAAAACTGCATTAAAATTGCAATACTCAATATAAACCAATAACAAAAAGATGAATATAAGTCATGTTGAGCACCTCTTGTAATTGCAGAAATCAAATGTGACTTGATTACTACAAGTTTAACATACTTTTTTCCTTTCTTAAAATGTATATACGTTTGTTGGCATCCTCTGTATTTAAGGATATTAGCCTAATAAATTGATCTTTTTAAATTATAAAATGACCCTGTTTATCTCTAGTTTTTTTGTTTGTTTGTTTTGAAGTTTACTTTGATATTAGCATAACCATTCCAGCCTTTTATGGCTGCAGTTTGTGTGATATATTTTTTCTATCACTTTACTTCCAACTGTTTTGAATCTAAGGAGTTGAATCCAACAGTATACAGTTGGATCTATTTTTTGTTCAGTCTGACAATTTTTGTCTTTTGATTGGATTGTGTAATTCATTCACATTTAATATTTTGATTGATGTATGTCTTAGTCTGTGTTACTATAAAGGAATATCTGAGACTGGATAATTTATAAACAAAAGATGTTCATTTGGCTCACAGTTCTGCAGGCTGTACAAGAAGCATGGTACCAGCCTCTGCTTCTGGTGAAGGCTTTAGGCTGCTTCCACTCATGGTAAAAGGTGAAGGGGAGCTGACATGTATGGAGATCACATCATATTGCATGAGAAAAGAAAGAGAGGAGGGAGGTAACAAGCTCTTTTAAACAACCAGCTTTCACGAAAACTACTAGAGTGAACACTCATTCATTACAACGAGGAAGGTACCAAGATATTCATGAGAAATCCATCTCTATTACCCAAACACCTGCATTAGGCCCTACCTCCAATATTGGGGATCAAATTTCAATATGAGTTGGAGGAGGTCAACATCCAAACTATAGCAATATACTTGGATTTATAGCTGCCATTTTACTTTTTGCTTTCTGTATGTCTCATGTCTTTTTTGGTCCTCCAGTCATCTTTTCTTGCTCTTTATTGTATCAAGTGATTATTTTCTAGTGTAGAACTATAATTCCCTTAGTGATTTGTTTCACTACCTTTCCTGGCTTATTTTCTCTTCTTTTTTTTTTTTTTTTGAGACAGAGCCTCAAGCTGTCCCCCTGGGCAGAGTGCCGTGGCATTACAGCTCACAGCAACCTCCAACTCCTGGGCTCAAGCGAGTCTCCTGCCTCCGCCTCCCAAGTAGCTGGGACTACAGGCGCCCGCCACAACACCTGGCTATTTTTTGGTTGCAGCCGTCATTGTTGTTTGGCGGGTCCGGGCTGGGGATTCGAACCCGCCACCTTAGGTGTACATGGCTGGCGCCTTAGCCGGTTGAGCTATAGGCGCCGAGCCTCCTGGCTTATTTTCTTAGTGGTTGCTCTGTGAATAATTATATACAGCTTAATTTATTGGGATGTGCTTCAGATATATACTAATTTATAATAATTCCATTGACATATAATAATGTTATTCCCATATAGTTCTATCCTTTTTTTCCTCCTCTTATGCAATTATTTTATTTTTATGCTATTATTGTATATATATTACAACTAACTATATATGTTATAAACCCAGCCATATATTGTTGTAATTATTATTTCATATAACTTCATTACATTACATTAACCTTCTTATTCACCATTTTTGGCTCTCTTCATTTGTTCCTGTGCATTTAAGTTACCATCTGCTGTCATTTCCTTACATCAGTATTGCTTTGGTCCCACTCACCTCTTTTGTGCTTTAATTGTCAAATATTTCTATATGTTATAGACTCAACAAGAAAATTATATACATATTGTTTTATATAATGATTTTCAACTCAGTTTAAAAAAAGGAGAAGAAATGTGCATTATCCTGTCTTTATAATTGCATAATTGTCTATACCATATTATCTGTTGTTTATATGGATTTGAATTATTGTCTGTCACTTTCAGCCTGAAGAACTTCCTTTAATATTTTTAGCCAGGTAGGGTGGCTCATGCCTGTAATCCTAGCACTTGGGAGGCTGAGGCAGGTGGACTGCCTGAGCTCACAGGTTCGAGACCAGCCTGAGCCAGAGTGAGACCTCCATCTCTAAAAATAGCCAGGCATTGTGGTGGGTGCCTGTGGTCTCAGCTTCCTGGGAGGCTGAGGCAAGAGAATCGCTTAAGCCCAGGAGTTTGAGGTTCCTGTGAGCCATGACGTCACAGTACTGTACCAAGGGTGACAAAGTGAGACTCTGTCTCAAAAATAATTTTTTTTTAGTAGGATAAGTCTGCAAGAAACAAATTCTCTCAGTTTTTGTTTACCTGGGAATGTCTCAATTCTACCTTTATTTTTTGAAATACAGTTTTGTTGTGTGTTAAGATTCTTAGAAGGCAGTTTGGGGTCTCTGTGTTTTGTTTGTTTATCCTGTTTTGATACTTTGTCATATCACTGCTTCTGGCCCTCATGATTTCTGATGAGAAATCAGTTGTTAAACCTACTGAAAGTCACTTGTATATTAATGAATCACATCTCTCTTGTTGCTTTCCGGGTTTCTCTTGGTATTTACCTTTAGGTAGTTGATAATGGTATAAATCTCTTTGAGCTTGTCCTATTTGAAGTTCACTAAACTTCTTGGATGCACAAATTAAGGTTTTGTATCTCTTTGCAGGGTAAATTTTGAGACCAGCCCTTGAGGTTTGCTCTGAACCCCTTGGTGGTGGTGGGGGGGGGGTCTTTTTATTTTTATTTATTTATTTTGAAACAAGAGTCTCACTATGTCACCCTTGGTAGAGTGCTGTGGCATCACAGGTCACCACAACCTCAAACTCTTGGGCTTAATTTTTTTGCCTCAGTCTCCCAAGTAGCTGGGACGACAGGCGCTGGCCACAATGCCTGGCTATTTTTTGTTGCAGTTGTTTAGCTAGCCCTGGCCGGGTTCAAACTCACCACCTTTGGTGTATGTGGCTGGCACCATAACCACTGTGCTACGGGTGCGGAGCCTGGGGTGGGGGAGTCTTTTTAGTAGTCTCCCCCCCCCACCCCCCACTTGCTGACAAACTAGTTGGCCTGTGGTTTAGCTTATTGTTCTCATAAAGCCACCTGTTTTATTTTAATTGCTGACCATCAAAATCCCCATTGTTTTTGAGGGTGCCTGTTTTGGTTCGAATGTGTCCCCCAAAGCTCATAGTTAGAAACTTAATCACCAATGTTGAGAGGCAGGACATTTAAGAGGTGACTGATGAATACATTCATGTTGTTACCTTGGGAGTGGGTTAGTTATTATAGGCACGTTCCTGAAAAAAGGATGAGTTCAGCTCTCACTCATGCATGCATACACGTGTGTGCTCTCTTACCCTTCCACCTCCTGCCATTGGATGATACAGCAAGACAGTCCTCACCGAATGCAGGCCCCTCAACCTTGGACTTCCCCAGCCTCCAGAACTATAAGAAATTAATCTCTGTTCTTTATAAATTACCCAGTCTCAGGTATTCTGTTATAGCAGCACAAAGTGAACCAAGACAAAGTGAACAAGCCCCGAAGCTTGATTTTCACTATAGTTGATTCCAAATAAAGTCAGGTGCACCCTGCCTCTTGGCCTTACTCTCCTGTAATTTAGCCTCAGCAACACAAAGGGGCAATGCTTAAGAACGTTGATGGCATGCCTGTCCCAGGGAAACATCATTGCCCTCAACCGTAAGCTATGTAGAGAAGGAAACTCATTTTCTTGGCCACACCTGCCCAGAGTAGAGCTTTCATTAGCTGAGCTGAGCAGGGGAGGAAAAAGACGAGCTGTAGCTTGAGTTGTACACCCTCTTGCTGTCTTTACCATTTGGAACACTTATCGAAATATGTGTTCATACTTGGTATGGGCCATGATATCTGTATATCTTCCACTATTTTGTGTCACACTGTGAGTCCACGGACCAGTCCTACCATATAACCAGTGTCTAGCTCAGTTTCTGGCACGAAGTCAGCAAATAGTATATATTTCTTAGCTATGAAAATAAGTCGGTACCAGGAAACCCAGCATTGTAGGAGGGGCTAAGATAACATTGGCACTAAAAAATACAACTATTGTAACGGTATAGATGATGGGTTAGAGTAAGTCAAGCTGGAGGCAAAGTTGACGGTTAAGAATATAAAATAATTTTCAGAAAATAATGATGAAAACCTTTATAAAGGAAGAGCCATTTTGGTAGAAATGTTAAAAAAAAAAGGCATGGACTTATGTGATACATGAATTTCCTCTCAGCTGAACTTGGTCACTGGATATGGGCACACAGGTGAGATATGGATTTAACGGGAACTATAAGGCCATACATATGAGAATAAGTAAAGAGTTATTTTCTTTTTTCTTCCTTTTCTTTTTCTTTGGCCAGGGCTGGGTTTGAACCCACCACCTCCAGTATATGGGGCCAGTGCCCTACTCCTTTGAGCCACAGGCACCGCCCCTCTTTTTTTTTTATTTTGTTGCTCTCAGTAGAGTGGCA